GAGGCCACAAGAGGTGGGTTATGTCCTTTAAATAGGGTGCAAACCCTAAAAATTAGGGTTATCCTTTACAACGCCTAGTCTTCGAGTTGGGGCCTTCTGAATCATTGAGTAGGATTCAAAACCCGCGTCCTCATAATGATCTCTACTCGACGAGTTGAAGCTTCCCAACTCGCCGAGTCCATGCAGAAAACCCTAAAAATAGATAAATTAAATAATACCTGGAATAGGTGTTACAAGTCTCCCCCACTTGAACTAGACTTCATCCTCGAAGTTCTCTGACCTAAATAAGTCCGGATAATGGTCTCGCATCTCGTCCTCCGGCTCCCAAGTCCATTCAAAGCCCCTTCGGTGCTGCTATTACACTTTTACTAACTTCACCTCCTTGTTCTGAAGGATCTTGGTCTTCCTGTCTAAAATCACAACAGGCCTCTCAATGTAGTTCAGGCTCTCATCCACCTGAATGTCATCTAGAGAAATGATTGTGGCCTCGTCGGTGACATACTTCCGAAGCTGTGACACATGGAAGATGTTGTGAATCTGGCTAAGCTCATCTGGAAGATCCAAGTGATAGGCCACCTTGCCCACCTGGTTCGTAATCCTGAATGGTCCAATATATATGGGCCCTAGCTTGCCCCTCTTCCGAAACCTGATAATCCCTTTCCATGGTGACACCTTTAGTAACATGAAGTCCCCCACCTGGAACTCAAGATCTGATCGACGCCGGTCAGCATAATTTTTCTGATGGTTTTGTGTGACCCGCAACCGGTCCCATACCTACTGAATCAGCCTGGTAGTCTTGAGTACTACCTCAGTGCTCCCCATGACCTGGTGTCAACCCTCGCCCCAACAAACTGGGGTCCTACATCTCCTACCATACAACTGAAGGGTTTTGAGCATTCTAACACTTCCTAAGTGTACATGCAACCCTAATAACCTTGGATCTATGTTTGTCTAATTATCATGCAAAGTTTAATTCCAAGGCTATATTCCTATCTAGCATACATGGGGAACAATTTTAACTTGAATGATAGATAGAATAACTTACCTTGTTGTTGCTTGTGCTCCTTGAAACCTTATGAGCCTAGCACCCCAAGTGTGATGCCTCAAATGCTTCACACAATACCAAATGCTCTTGGAAAGACTTTTGAGAGAATGCACACTTCTTGAAATCGGCCAAGACCTCTTGTTTCCTTAGTGTAGCTGATTTTGGTGGAGAATGAGATCCTTATATAGTGTTGACACATCTAGGGTTACACCATGTAAACCCTAATGTGTCATGACTCTTCATTTCCATGACCCATGGGTTTGTAACTCCCATGGAGCATCCATGGAGCATCCTATGGGTGGAACCCAACTTGATAATCCATGGAGCCTCTTAGCCCACTATACAAGATATGGATGATTACATAATCAACCCATATATTTAATTAGTTATCTTTTGATCACTTAATTAATTCTAAATTAATTCTTGATCAAACTAATCAAATAATATTATTAATATATTAGAACTTAATATATTAATAATCTCCAAGTGTTATTTCTCTCATTTAGTCTATCCAATTGCATGGTGCCATGCAACCCAAATGGACCATGCTGGGTCGGGTCAAGTACATACCAGAAATAGTTATGGACTTAGACACCTTATCCAACAGTCTCCACTTGGATAAGTCTAATAACTATTACTGCAAGTATGACTTCAGGAACCGATCGGCAATCATAGCTCTTTTCAAGGTTTCTCGGAACTGAGAAGATAATGGTACGCCATTTAAGATAAGTGATCATATAATCCTCTGTTCTAGATATCAGTCGAACAAATACATGGAACAATGTCTTACTTATTGTCCAACAGTTTGTTTCCCGATTTCCGATTTGTTTGACAAAGAACTTAATTGAACACATCAACTTAGTTCTGACCGGGCCCGGTACATGGGTCAAAACAAAATCATCAAGGGGCCTAGATATCAGTTTCTAATCCAAGAAGGAACAGATAAACTTCGACTCATATGTTTGTTCTACCACTCATTGAATTACACACAAGAGCACGATTTATAACATCGAGTTACCAATGCGTTTTCGTACAATCAATGCATAACCAACTTGTAAGTAACAAATCATATCTCTAGGTTTGAAGACTTATATGATATTACCGTCTCACGATCACTCGAGATAGAATTCCATGAAGTGATTTCAGTGAGCGTGGGTTGAGTCCAATGCTCAGAACTTATGAGCACTCATGATTGTTGTAGCCTTGTCTAACACCTTAGACCTCTGCAACCAATCATGACAGTCTTGATTCATACCTACTTCCGACATATGACCGACTGTGGAGGTTTGAATAATATGTTATACCAAACAAAATTATTCTGGAAGTCAAAACATGCAAAAGAAATATAGTAAACGATTGACAAGAGATAGCAACACTTTACTCATAAATAAAACACCTTTTATTCATCATCTAATGTCAATTACACTTTACAAATTTCGAGGTTATCTAACTACTAAATCTAATATCATCCTTCAGCCCTATGCTCCGAGCATGCTGGAGATGCTTAACCCGAGTCAGTCCCTTCGTGAGGGGATCTGCTGGGTTCTCATCCGATGATACCCTCTTTGCCACGAGGAGTC